TGTTCGTCTAAGGCGTTCTGCATTCGTCGGTCCACACTTATGCTTCTTTTTTTAGCCAACCGTCTAGTGGAACTTTGAAGCATTCGCAGCGTGCCCTTTTGGTCATAAAATTCAATTATACACTAGGTGGTGCGCCACACATGAAGAAAATGGTGGTTGCCCAGGGTGAACTGATGATGAGAATCGCTAAGCTAGAGACTGTGCTCGCGGCAGAGTGAGGAAAAAGAAAGAATATGGGCGAAAACCTCCGGTCATCTGAGGTGACACCAGAGAAGGTGGGCAAGATGAACAAAGAAGCAGCCGATGGCGTGACTGGTAGGGCACCGGCACCCAGAACAGCGAAGAAAAAAAGGGGAAACAAGTTCGTAAAAAACAGGTTGAATCGCTTCAATAGTCACGAGACCCTGCTTCCGCGAAGTAGTTGTGGAGGTGGGAGGAGACAAAGCAGCCGGTGCTAAAAGCGCAAGTAACCACCAGGCGTGGGACAATTTAGCAGAAAAGTCGCAGCACGTAATAATTGCCGGGGACCGATGTGCAGAAGCAAAAAGAGGGTAAGAGGCGACAAGAGGATTTCAATATGAACGTACCCAGGACATAAGCTGTAAACGGTGATGAGGCAAGCAAGTGCAAAACTCACATATAAAGCCAATAGACGAAGCCTCGTGATAATTGCGGGTGATCTAAACGATGTTTCGAACGAAGAATTGGCAGGACTAGTGACCACATTGGCTAAAGGGGTCAGTGTATGCACAATATTAGGGGCCGCGGTGCATGACGGAAACCTGCAAGGTGCCGTTGTCGCCGAAAGAAAGGCTTCGGGATAGTGGAAATTGAGAGGTGCATAGATGGGGTGGTTTTCAGTGAGAAAGACTATAGGTCCTGAGGTGGATTGGTGTCTTGCAGAACACCCAGTAGCATTTTTTAAGGTGGGGGGGGGGCGGGAACTTTATTGTCCAGGATAGCTACAAACAAGGAGAACAACAAGGGGACTTTTTGACAGGCGGTATAGCGAGAAACCAGAGAAAAGTTAAAAGAAAGAAGACGGCGCGTGTTGCAATTAGTTACATTAGCATGCAGGGCGTCAGAAAAAAAAGGGAATATAGTTAGAGAGTGAATAGCAGTTAAACAAAGAACAGATATACGTGTGTGCTGTTACGGAAACAGACCTTAGAGACGAGAAAAAGCAACCACAGCTTCTGAATTATGTTTGGAAAGGATGCAACAGCAGCATATCAGCGACGTGAAAGACGAATACTTGTGAGCTTACTTGTGAAGGGCGAATAACTGCAAGGAAAACAATTAGGATATAGTCATTTGCATACTCACGGATATCAAAGAATTTGGGCACGGGGTCGAAATAATCTTTCTAAGAGACTTGAATGCTAACATAAATGACTAAATGACCTTCACGGATATTCAGAGACCAATGGCAGGTTATTGCTGATCTCTGCGAGCAAAAGTCTTGAGATAGTTAACGTGGGGCCTAAGTGTGAGAGGCAGATGAAGTGGGAAGCTGGACACAGGCAATTAAACATTGATTATTGTCCTATGACAGAGGGTAGGAACACTGTCACAATGCAGCAACATATGATAGATGCAAGAGGAAATAAATTGGAAGGGTACAAAGAGCCAGGCTATATTCGAAAGGTAACAGCACATTCGTTTAAATAGGTCGTTCACTGGACTTCCTCGGTGAGTAAAAGTAGGGCAAAGAGTGCAACCGAGGTGGAGGCAGTACATGAGAATTTCATTGGGAAGAAGGCCAAACGAAAATTCCTAAGCACAATACTCCGGGCTTATATTGGGTTCCCGTCCACCTCATTAACGAACTAGGACATATCACCAAAGAAGCACTGCTGAAATCTGTAGAAAAGCGCTTACAGGAGAAGGAAACACCGGACACTTGGCGGAAAAGTAGAATGAACTTTATCTGTCAAGGAAAGGAAGAAAATGATAACAATCGCTCGTATTAACGATGGAAGCAGTACAATTTAAAATAGAGACCTGGGCAGACACAAATTATATTTGGGGAGAACTTTAGAATGTTTTTTTAATTGAAAGATAGACGATAAACTTTCCATTCTTAGTCAGTGTATATAAACATCAAATACACAAAAAGGAGCCTTTACGTAGCTTACTTGGACCTAACTTGGGCGTATGACAACGATAATCAGAAAATCTTGTGGCGCACATTGAAGGAAGTGGGCATGGTTGTGATAACTTTATACAGCTTTTGAGAGAAGTATATCAAGAAAATACAGTTTGCATAAAATTGAAAGGAATAAGTAGCAACGACAGCGTTGAAATTAACAAGGAGCTGAGACAGATATGCCCTTTCTTCCCGATGTTACTCATTCTGTACATGATGAGGATGAAAAAAGCTATAGAAGGTAGCAACATTGGGTTCAACCTGGGCGCGATGGTCGGCAGAAGCTTCCAGGTCTATTTTATGCTGACAATATTGTCCTATTTTCGGACTGTCATGACGATATACAGCGGCTGGCAGATATATGCGGAAGGGAAGGTGAGGCTCTAAGACTAGCGTTTTGTTCAACGAAATGTGGAATGATGGTATTCAGCGATCGCAAAGACCAGGTGGTCTAAATACAGGGCCAAGAAATAGCCAGAGTAAGCGAGTACAAGTAACTCGCCGTATAGGTAAATGAGGGGGGTAGATATAGTGAGGTACAGGAAAAAACATCGGCAGCAAAGGAAGAGAGAAATGCTGCAATAATAAAGCCCAGAGCATTATGGTGATATAATAGGTACGAAGTGCTTCGAGGTTTGTGCAAAATCATAATGGTTCCAGAGCTTACATTTGGAAACTCAGTGGTGTGCATGAAGCCAGAGGTGCACTCAGGAATGGATGCTAATCAAAGTAATGTGGGACGCCTCGCATTGGGCGATTACGAGAAAACGACGAATGAGGTTGTAAATAGGAATATGGGATGAACAGGCTTTCAAGTAAGGAAAGCTCAGAGCAGACTGGAATTTCTGGAGAGGCTTAGAAAAATGACGGAGAGTAGATGGGCAGAGTTGTAGAGGCATTTGCGTATGAAGAGCGTGGACACAGAGGGGAGGAAAAAAAAACTAGTAGGCTCACCAGTAAAAGTACGGTTGGGAGTAGAGGCGATATGGCAATAAGGCGCGTTAAGCGAAAATTCAAAGATGCAGAGAGGATGTATGGGATGACAGCGATAAAAGAGAAGCCGGCTCTCAGCAACTACCCAGAGGGCAAGAACGATATTTCGTTCGGGCGGGAGAGATTATATGATAATTCAAGGTAAGTGCGTTACTGTTCGAAGCGAGATCAGGTTGCCCTAGAACGCGTAGTCATAAAGCAGGATTTAATAAAGAAGAACAATTTTAAATGCTGTGGGGTAGTTAAAGAAACGATTAAACGTGTTCTTATTGAATGCGGGGATATCCACCTAGGTATCTGTGTGGGTACAAGCCTACATGATGCTTTGGGTTTCTGGGAGAAACATGGAAAGCTGGACACGTCCACGATAGAAGCAAGTCAGTGAGGGTTAGAGTACTGGTGGCAGAAAAGTAGAGATAAAAGACAGAAATAGCGGGAAAGTGGGGTCATTTTGTTTTAAGAGGCAAAGAGATGAAAAAAAATTTATAATTTTGTTATTTAATCGAGTAGGTGAGGCATTGGGCCAACATGAAAAGAAAGATTTCTTTTTTTTTTCTTGCGGGTCTGGTGGCACACATGTCACCACTACGTTACAGAGGGGACGCTCATAGCATCCATCCATCCATGCAAAAGGCATGGTTCAACTCTATTACTTCTTTACAATAAGGTAACTCTACGGGTCTCTCGTAAAAGCAATTCAATTCCATACAAGTACTTGTTGTTGGGCGAGTTGGTGCTGAGTACATAACATCTTGATTTTTGCGCTAGACGACCACGTGAGAGAAGACAAGACTGCAAACTGATTCGTTGCAATGGTCGCCGTGAAAGAACTAGCACAGTGATGCGCGGGCTTACCGAGCGCATATCACAAGGCTTTGCACATGTAGCATCGAAAAATTTAGTGTCGCTCTTATACAAGCAGGTTAACGTGCCGCTAACACAATCTGTTTTTAACACGAAATTGTTTTATGGTGGTGTCCACCAAGATTTTCATGACATATTTGCGTCATGGAAGTACATTAGCCATATAAACGAGACCAGACTGCAAAAAAACACGTGAATAACGATATTGCATTGCCTTGAATCGAACCCACGACCTCAACGACGTTGGCGTTTAACCCGCATACGCCGGCGCCACAGCCATGAAGGAGACGACATAAGTGCGTCTCGTTTCTTTGACACGCCTCACAAATTTTTGCGGGCTGATTTGTTCCAGCTTCTACCTAGAGCCTTGGCCTCACGAAATGAGGGCTCCGTCCTACGAAACAGCGCTTATTTAAGCACGGATAAATAAATATCACACTAGTACAGCAACCGTCTGCAGGTGACGTTTCTTCGTGCGTGCCTAAATTAGTGCTGTGTTTTTTTTTTTCAGATGGAGACATGTACCAATGAGCTCACAAACATTCACTTCTAGGACATACCGGCTCACACAATCAATTCGGTAGTGGGGGTGGCAATAGCTTTATTTTTTCACAGAAAAAACTACAAAATGGAAGGGACCAGTACAGTATAGAGCGAATGGGCACCATCCATTTCCTTTAGATATTGCGAATGCTCCCTAAATGCCCAATGTCCTTAGCTTCATAAGTTATGTTGTCTTGATATGCTCCCGGTTCTGCTCCCGGTACATCTATGTATCACTGTGTGATATATTTTATCGTATACTTCGCAACAAACCAGTTGTTCGTAACGCCTGCCGTGCGGTCTTCTCTCCTGTGTTCATCTTTTTTTGCGCAAAAGTGAAGATGTTTCTAACTGTTCGCTGTAGTAACTAGTAAATGGTTGCCTACATGAATAAAAAATCAAAGGCCACCTGCATGCACAGCCTGCACGCGGTAGTGAGCACAGCACTAGCCTTGAAACGCCGGTCATCGACCGAGCGGACGCCCCTGAAGTAGAAGTTATCCCCGAGTGAGACGACGAAGTCGATGCGCTTGGCAGCCGCCACGACCGCCATGGTCTTGGCCAGGTTCCGTTGGATCCGCGTCGTGTACGGGTAGAAAGGCAGTCCACCCCAGTCGCCGAACACCAGGAACCGCACCGACTTGTCGTTGGCTGGTCCGGTGACGAGCGCCGACGCCAGCACACCACCGCTCAGCACAACCAACCACGCTGCGTGAAACAACACATGGTATACGTAAAGGGTATCTGTGTGGAAACTCCCTAGGCGTACAATAGAGACGATGTTAGCGAGGGCTCCACTATGTCTCTCCTTTAAAATTTTGGAGCGTCGACAATTGTAAAGAAAAACCTTATTCGACGACAGTGTAAGCAACGCGAAGGTACAGCCTCCTTATGGTCGTCAGGGCATTAGTAATTGATCATAATGTACAGTGATAATTTATTTTTTACGTGTAGAGGCTCTACGTAACGCAGCGGTGAACGGAGAGTCCACCCCTGCAGACAATGCTTCTATAGTCTGCTACAAGCTTTGCACTGACGTCATTCACGAGGAGTGTGAGTGGCAGGGTTGCTACTTGAAGCTTCGCTGCAGACGCTGTTTTTGACATTCGTACAGTGACTTGAATAAATAGACACCACCGGAACACCTCCTGCCCGCTGACACACGCACGTAGGTATGTGGCGTACCAACTTACCTGTTCGAAATGGCATGGCGATGATGTTGCCACTCTGCGGATTAAAGCTCCGCCCAAAGCCCTTGATAAAGTCTGGAAAAGCTCCACCCGAAGCCCGGTAGCCGATCGCCTCCCGCTCACGTCAATGTTTTCCGAAGGTAACTTTGCTACAAGCGCCTCATTATATATACATCTCGCTTATAACGTTAGACCACGTACATCGGTGCACACATCCGCCTTTAAAAGGAAACGCCGCGAAATTCTACAGATGTGTCTCACTATGCACACTGAACAAAAATAACCTGAAAAATGGGGCTAACTGTTTGGCCTCTAGCGCGTCCCTTTTCTTTTACTACGTACCAGTCAGAGTTAAAATTCACAGTCATGATAGCCAAGTTTATGAGCGTAAAAAAGATAGTAATATTAATTACATTGCGTAGGTTTTGAGCGTGTATATAGAAAGTAAACGTTTACTGGCTTTACAAAGTTTCAGGGGTGATTGCTGAGAGTTTTTTTCACACGGTAACAAAAACAAATCACTGATGACGAGTCAGATCGCACAACGACCTCACGGACTTGTTAAACATTTCATGACGCAGAATTGGTAAGATGTACAGAGGCTAACATATACACATACACAACCAATGCGCAATAAAACACACCCTGAATGGACTGCTTCTGTTACCAATTCGTACCATAGAGAAAGGAAAGGTATGTAAAGAGCCACGCAGAGGCACTTCCATAAAGCCATGCAGTCGAAGTAGAGAGCAAGGAAATAGAGAGAGTGCATTGAATTTCTTGAAATGCATTAGGGCACCAAGTCGTTGATTATGATATTGTGCAAGTTTCGGTTTTATCTCCATGCGCGCGCAGTTGAAAATGAGTCCTAGGCTTTTGTATTTCTTCTTTTTTATCGCTGCAGCCAGTCGTTGGGTTGCTTTCTGAATGACTAAGGCTAGAATTTTTTATCATGAAAATACACGATGCCACAAAAGTTATTCACGAGCGTTCATTGCAGCTGTTCTCAAGGCAAAGCAGAATTTTGTTAAATAGACAGCATAAAAGCGAGAAAAACAGAACAAGGCAGTTTTATTTATTTGGTGTGGCCACGACGCAAGAGGGCAAACAAGCCTAATCTTGCGTCTTGGCCATACCACAGAACAGAGCGGTTGTTGGCCCGCAAAGCACACTGGTCCGCGTCAGCTGGAAAAAAATTTAAAAAATATCTCATCTTAACATTTCGGTTGCTACACGGGACAAGCTAAGCTTTCCTCCGGAGAGGCAAGACGGGTAGGCTTATACATAACGTGCAAGTTTACCCCGTTCCCCATAGAAATTGTCGAATGCAGAAATATCACCCGAAGAAGTGAATGATTCAGGCTTGATTACGGCGTACAACTAAGAACCAATCAAGAGCAAAGCTAACCAATCCCATTACGCAAGACCAACAAGCACACGTGACACACGAAATGGCAGATGCAGCACCGCTGAGCCGAGAAGCGTCTATCAACGCCTCGTCGCTACTTCGAGACTCCCATAACAGCTGAGGTACACATACTGGATAACTATAAGGGCTATGAGACTGCCCTAATGTGGCTAAAGTAACATTCATCGGTGCAGTTTAAGAAAGTCTTGGCAATGAAGACCGCTCTGGCACCTCAAGACATCAAAGACTTCATGTGCTCAAACGCAACCCAAAACATTTTCTTTGTATGCACTCGCGTAGCGACCGAAACGCACGAGCCTGTTGGCCGTGAGATCGAGTGGAGTCGCCCTTTTGACGGCAACTGGCTGAAGTGCACCAGGGTGGTCGTCCACAGGCAGGCCATGCAACACTAGTCCAGCTGCACCCTATCATATAGCGTGGGAGTGCCCGAGAAACACATCTAAAACAGGTGTCTTTAAGGATTTCAGTAGAGATGGCTGGACAGTGGCCCTGTCTAACCTGGACCGGCAGGTCTAAGAGGCTCTTGAGGCCCGCGCAAAGATAGGGGCGCGAACCATTGGGATCTTGGACTAGAGACTACACCCATTTACCATTAAATGTGTAGTGGGGAATTCGCAAGGTACTGACTAGTGGGACCATCTGTCTCTGAGTGCCAAGCGCGAGGGTGTGCACGAGCTGTAGACGCTGGACTGCTCGAGCATTTCTGTCCGTACCGGCTGCCTGCCTACTACCTGGCGTCGCTATTAAACTTCCTTGCAAAGTGGTGGAAGTGTGCTGAGTACGCAAACCTGTAACTTCGAAGCCGGAAGCTTCCCACTGCATCAGCAATGCCTGATAAGACGACTGAGCAAGGCACTACCCTGCAAAGCACGGCCCAATCTTAACTGGTCATCGTACCTACCACCCTGCGCCAACAGGATCCCCCCTTCTTCAGCGGCACCAAGGACCAAGATGTGGAAGACTGGTTGCAGCTGTTTGAAAAAATGAGCGCCGCCAACAAGTGGGACGGCTCCTCGAAATTGGAGTACGTCCCATTTTATCTCAAAGACATCGCCAGCCTGCGGTTCACAAACCACCGTACTGAATTTAGCACTTGGGCTGCTTTTAAGAAAACCCTTGCAGCTGTGTTCTATCGCCGCGCAGTGCGCAAGCTGCGTGCTGAACAGCGCCTACGCGGACGAGCACAAAGGCTGGGCGAAAACTGCACTAGCTATATTGAAGATGTTATCGATTTATGCCAGCGCTTTAACCCTGAGATGACCGAACAAGACAAGATCAGGCATATCTTGAAAGGAACAGACGATGATGCCTTTCAAATGTTGCTGGCAAAGGGCCCAAGCACTGTACCCCAACTTGTCACCTTGTGCCAGAGCTTGGAAGAGATTCGCAAGCAACGTGCATCAGTTCGGATGTCGACGACAGCAGATGACTCTCTCGCTGCCCTGACCGTCGGTGGTGACAGCACCCTGCTGGAGCAGATAAAAGAATATGTACGCGAAGACTTCGCACGACAGTTTTCGTGTCTCTCGTATCTGCCGACCACCGAAGCACCAACGAACCGCCTAACGCCGACAATCAGACAGGCTATTCAGGAGCAGTTCTCCGAGGTGTTGCCATTACCTACGCCTGCCTCTCAACCAACACCTGTTGCCGCGCCACTGACTTATGCGGCCGTCGCGGCAATGCCTCCGCCTCGTCTGCCATTGTATACGCCACAACCTGTGCGACCTTCCACCGTGCCGTTTCCAGCTACACAGCAGCACGCCGGAAATCCTTGGCACACTGCTGACAACCGGCCGATATGTTACTTTTGCGGGATTTCAGGTCACATTGCAAGTTTATGTCATCGGCGCTTCGCAGTTACCACACCAAGACACCCTGACTACTCGTTTCGGCCTCCATACCACGCGCCCTACATTGCCACCTGAAGTTCACGAACGTGATGCGCAAGCTGCTTCCGGCACCCGAACCTCCGCTTCCCGACGTTCTACTTCCCGCTCGCCTTCCCCTTCAACAAGTCGTCGTTCTGTGTCGCCTATGCGTCGACGACCCACCTTCATTGAGACGGAAATATAACTGCCGCAGCTCCGGAGGCACGAGCTGCGTCATCGTCTAATTGTTTAAGTCCTCGCCTGTCTCCCGCCAATCTTATCGATGTAATCGTCGAAGGTGTACGAACACTTACACTCATCGATACCGGTGCCGCGATATCTGTGATTAGTCAAAGACTCTGCCGCTCTCTTTGTAAAGGGACGATGCTTTTTCCCGTAGTTTCTCTCAGCACTGCGAGCGCCCAAAAAATTGAGCCCGTCGCGGCATGCACGGCAAAAGTGGTTATTCGAGACATGTTGTACATCATTGAATTTCACGTGTTGGCTTGATGTTCCCACGATGTCATCCTAGGATGGGATTTCTTATCACGTCATCACGCCGCCGTGGGCTGTGCTCGGGCCGAAACGGAGCTGTTACCGTTTCGTGATGCGCCTTTTGTTGATGCGGCCATATCTAGGGTGGCTAACGTTGTCGTCGCGATGGACATAGACCTTCCTCCTTTCAGTGCCCCAGTTTGTCCCTGCCTGCTGCACTTCATTTTCTGACGCTACCATCCTATTCACGCCATCTGACATCTTCGGTAGCTGCCCCCACACATCGCTACCATTCGCTGTTCTTGCGCTTTGTCAAGACACTACCGGAATATTTATTTCCAATCCGAACTCGTGCCCCTTCAGTTTGCGCCGCAACGAGACGCTCGGCCACATTCAGCTTATCGATGAAGGTACTATCGTGCCTGCCGATTTCTTCGACACCAAGCCTAATATGGAGCTGAACGCGTTGGTTCCTCGCTTTGCCTCGAACAGCGTGTCGTCCGATGCATTTCACTGTTCTATTGACAGCCATCTAGCCCCGGCTCAACGAGAGCAGCTTGTTACCCTGTTGCACGAATTCAGGCGTTCGTTTGACTTTCCCCAAGCGGTGCTAGGAAGAACGAACACCGTTGTGCACACAATTGACACAGGGAAGAGTACTCCTTTGCGCCACCGCCCGTATCGTGTGTCCCGGTGGAGCGTCACGTAATTGCAGAACAAGTA